TTACACCCCCATGGCCTGTGCCATCACAATCGGCCCCAGCTATATAACCAGGGGACGACGGGGACTCTGTAAAGCTGGGTGTGCTGGAAGAGGAGGAAGAGGAGGAGGCCTCTGCCCCTCCAAGCCTGGCCTCCCATGGACACCAAAGCACAAAACATTCCCATCACCCACACCCAGCCCCACTGCAACTCTCGGTCCCAAAGCCACACCTGCAACCACTGCAGCTGCAGCCACCACTGCCAGAACTGCAGCCAGAGTTGCAGCTGGAGCCAGGGCTGTAGCCAGAGCCCGACCGGCCACTGCAGCCTATCTGGCCACCAGAGCCAGAGTCCAAGGTCCAGCCCGCTATCCCAGCATCAGAGACACGCCATGCACTCCCACCACTGCCCCAAGCAGCCCGCCACCCATTCCTGCCGCCACCCCAAGAACAAAAAGAACTTGGAAGGAAAGGTGAAAAAGAGGAAGGTGATCAAAAGGAGACGGCGGGTGTATAAAACAAAGAGGCGGAGCTCAGGTACCTTTCGTGCGGGTGGGGAAGGGCCACAGGGACCCCCAGATGAGGAGGAGCTGCCCAGCTGGACCTTGGGGGCAGTGAGGTGAAGGCTGCAGCCTCCAAGCCAGAGCACAGAGGAACCACAGGCCAGGGTGAAGAGGGAAAAGAAACTATGGCTGTTGCATACATGATGCATTGCTGGACCAGTGCTTCGAATATGTTGGATGAGTTGACAGGATGGACAGGTGGTGGATTAGATGGATGGAAGGATGGGGTGAATGAGAGGCTAGGTGGATAATTAGAAGGGCAGCTAGGTAGATGGGTGAGTAGATGGGTGAGAGAAGTGTTAAATAGTTGCTTAAGTGGATTGATGAATGGGGTAGGAGGGTGGATGAAAGATGCATCAGTTGAACGACTGGAAAGTTTGAGTATGGTTGGAAGGATGTGGTTGGTGAATGGTGAACTGGTTAAATGATTGTTGGTTAGGTAGGTGGATGGTCAGATGATCGTGGACAAGTGAATGGGTCGATGAACTGATGGACGGTTCGTTAGATGGATAAAGTAACTAAATGGACAAATGGATGGAAGGATAGATGGGTGGGTGGCCTGGATACAGCTGAAAGAATTAAATGAATGTTGGGTTAAGGCTGGGTGACTCATTGGATGGGTCAAATAGATGAAATGGATGGATTCACATAGGTCAAAAGGAACTTGATAGTCTAAGCTCTATCCATGCTCCGTATCTGATTACAAATGAGCAGTCTAAGACCCAAAGAAGGTGAGTTCATGAAGCACAAGTATTACAGGGCCCCTTTCCTATTCCTATCACTTAGGGCAGAAACACAACTGAGATTGCAGCCGTGGCTTGTTCCTGTGTGGGCCTCACCCGCCTGAGAAATACCATCACGCATCGCATGCTAGAAGAAGGCAGACTCTGCAGGAACATGTTACTGCAATGATTTCTATGCAACAATGATTAAAGCTTGTACACTGGAGGACTAGCCTTGAGTCAGCATTTTTATTTCACTAAACGTGTCACATGTTTGGGGGCCTGGTTTGGAAGCACAAAGCAGAAAAGAGGTTGTGAAGGGAGCAGGGACATGCCTTGTAATGAAACCTAGTAGAGTGTAAGGAGCCAATGCCAGCACAGGGGCAGAAATAATGGGGGGAAAGGGCAACCCTCTGCTTGTGCGGAGCCCTCCTTTGCCCTGTGTGCTCCCACATTTGTGCACATACGTGTGCATGCACACACGCGATGCCTACGGGCCCACACACTGTCCATGGGATCCACACGTGGTAGCCAGCCCAGCAGCATGGCAGGAGACAGGTGGGAAGAGGGGCAAGAAATGTGCCTTTCAGTCCAGAGCATCCTGAGTTTGAATCCTGGCTTATCCTGGCTCATATCCCCCTGCTGTGTGATGTTAGGCTGGTGATCCACCTCTGAGTCTCAACCTCTCTGAGCCTCTCTTGTTTCAGCCAACTTTTACAAGGGACCAAGTGTGTTTCAGGGGCTGTGCTAGGGCTCTGGGAACACAGAGGACAGGCACACAAGGCTTTGTCCAGAGAAAGAACATACACTGCCCGTCACGATAAGGTGAATCAAGGGAGCAAAGGGAGGTAATGCAGAGCAACTCTGGTGAGGGTCCAAGCCAAGGAAACAGCGTGTGCAAAAGCCTCAATGAGGGGAAGCGCTTGGGGTGTTCCAAAAACTGGAGTAGCTGGCACAGAATATGCAGATGGCGGGATAAGAGGTGGGGGCGCCAGGCGGGGCCAGGCCACGCAGGAGTTTGCAGGTTGTGGGGGGCCTGGGCATTACATTTGGGGCAAGTGACAGAACCTAGTGTGTGCTTAAAGATGGTGTGGAGACTGGATTGTAGAAGACAGATGGCACAAGAGCAGGAGCCACTGGGAGCGTGTAGCCAGGAGAGAGGGTCTGGAGGATGGCACTGGGTATCTTCCGAGACAGATGGGCTGAGGGAACGTTCCTCCTTCAGCAAATATTTACTGGGCACCTATTTACACAGGCGTTGGGCTAAGAGCCAGGAGGGAAGACAAAGGTGAACAGAGCCCTATGCCCACATAGCTTCCAAACGAATTAGGGGATAAGATGTGCCATTAGATGATTAGATCAATTATCAAGAGGCAACTTCAGCCTTCTCAGCTGTAGAATGGGTGCCCCTGCGGGGTGGCTGGAGGGTTCAATGAGATGTGTGAGAAGTGGTTATCTCAGCCCAGCACATAGTAGGTACTCAATGACCCTTCGCTGTTATTGATATGGCATATAAAGCACTAGACAAGTTTTTTTTTAAAGAAATGCTAGCTTCCAGATAAAAGGATTAAGGAATGGTCAGGGTCCCATGTAAGTTACCCTCCGATCTTCACACCCACAAGGCTTGGTTTTAGGGTCAGACCCTAGTTCACACTGGCTCACCCACTCCCAGCTGGGGGACTTCGGACTAGTCACATTCACTCTGAGACTTACTTGCTCCCCCTGTCTCGGGGGCTAAGAATTCCGACCTCAGGGGGCTCAGCAGCCTGAGGCACGTGAAGGCGCACATGGTCGCTCTTAGAACCTTTTTGTGTTTCATTTGGCATTCGGGCTGAGGGAACGGGTGGGACATGTGGAGACGGAGGATGGGGCAGGCGTGGAAATGATGGTGTCTGCTGTGGCAGGAGAGGGACCCAGAGGAGGCCTGGGGGGAAGCCCTCATTGTGGTGGTCACCCTGGAACAAGTACATTGATCAATTCATTATGACTAACGTAGTGTCATGTCAATTACAGCTCAATAAAAAAATGAAGTCTGAGTTTTGCAGGGTGGGCGGTGGTATGCAGTGGAAGGTCCTCTTTCAGAGCTCAGCTGCGTGGCCTTAGCAAGTCATTTCCTCTCCGTGACCCAGACTCCGCCTCTATAAAGTAGGTGGCTGAAGTGTCTCCTTGAGGGGTCACTGAGATGAGGACCACGCAAGCGTCCAGCAGAGGGCCTGGGACCCAGGCTGCATTCAGTGTCCCAGCTTGATACCTCCGAGAGGGAGTGGGAGAAGGAGCCAGGCAGGCTAGGGAAATGGCCGTTTATTAAGCACCGACGGGGTGCCAGATGCTTTGACATAAATGTTCCTGGTGAACATTCCCTGCCCTCATTACTGTTCCCACTTCACAGATGAAGACGCTGAGGCTCAGAGGTGAAGCGATTTGACCAAGGTCTCCTGGAGGGCAGGGCTGAGATCAGAGACTCACCCAAACCTCCTGCTTCCCTATTTAAAAACGTCAAGCCACATAGTGCCACGATAGTCACTGAGACCACAGCGCAGAAGAGTTTGGGAAGCGCTGCTAGGGGGCACGTTTAAGGGAGGAGGTAGAGAAAGGTCAGAAAATAAGGTCAGAGACTTTGAGCATTGCTCACCAAAGGACCTCCCNTCCACTCCCCATGGCTTCTCAGCCGCCCTCCCCTCCCCTGAGGGTGAACGTGTGGTCGCCTGGGCTGGAAAGTCACCTCAGCCAGTCCCACCTCTGGGAGGAGGGAGGTGGTAGGGGAAGGGAGCAGATTCCTCCCTGCATCTGAGCAGACATAGGCCGAGAGCGCCTGAGGGGACAGTGTACTCTCTCTCAGCAAAACCCCCATTCCCCCATGTAGCCAGGGACAGTTTCCTCAAAGAGCACTCACTGGCTTGGGGGTTCAGCACGCCTGGGTTCAAATTTCTTTCTGCTAGTTGTGTGACCTTGAGCAAGTCACTGTCCATCTCTTCTGAGCCTTGGTCTGTCCCTCCCTGTTTAGGTGAGATTAATAGCTACCCCATAGGTCAGCGGGTCAGGAGAATGAACTGGAATGTCGAGTGGGCCCAGGCCTGGCACACGGTGAGTGTTTAAGATGCAGGCTCCATTTGCTTCACTGGCCCTGGTTTGGGGGTCAGAGTACGTGGAGGGGTCTGAGTCCTTCTCAACCAGTGACTCTTCTGCTGCTACTGTCACACTCAAGGTGACCATCCGTGCCCCCAGAGGCTCCCATCTGCCTTTATCAAGGGGTCCGGCTGTGGGGGCAGAGCCCATGTCCTCATTAAGGCAACCGGCAAAGGCGCTAAAGCAACCAGAGATGCTGCCAGACACCGATGCAGAACCCAGGCCCTGTATCCGCTCACTCTGGCCGCCTCGCGAAGCACCAGAACGTGGTCTCTGCCCTCTGCCCTCAGCAGTGCCCGCCCCAGCCCCAGCCAGCCATCTTGGCCTGAGCAGGACCCCGAGCAGGACTACCGGGGACGGGAAGCAGTGTTTCCAGGGAGGCCTCAGCTTCTTTGAGGGGCATGTGTCAGGGATAAGGAGAAGCCTTGGGTTTCGCAGAGGGGAGGCCACCCGGCAGGGTGAGAGACATGCGGAGGCCCCGCTGTCCGTGACTCCCACCCGCACCCTTGACCAAGCAGCTCGGTCAGCCAGCTTTGTGCTTGTGGTCCAAGTCCCACTGGTCCATCTGCCCGTCATTCACCCAGCAAACACCTGTGGAGCCCCTTCTGTATGTGCCAGTCACCATGGGCCCGCAGATGAATAAAACATAGTCTCCGTCCCACTATGCACTCGAGGGTGGGGAAGTGGGGCGTCAGCAGTGGAGGCAGAGACCCAGACAGAGTCTTCAAGGAGTAGCCCCCAACCAGTCCCACTGAGCCCGCACAGGCAAGGCCGTCAGAACAGAGCTGCACGTGCCCCCGTGGTCCCTCAGACCCCTTAGTGACCGCAAGGCTGAACGAGACGGGGCCAGACCTAGATTGGAACCCTGGTTCTGCCACTGGTTAGCTGGGGACTCTGGGATGGTTGCTCAACCTCTGAACCTGCTCCCTCTTTGTAAAACATAATAATCACACCTGCCTCACAGGGTTCACTCGTTTCTGAGGGCTGTTGGAACAAATTATCACAAACTTGGTGGCTTAAAACAGCAGACATTTCTCCTGTCCCATTCTGGAAGCCAGAGGTCTGAAATCAAGGAGGCGGCTGGGCCCCGCTGCCCGGAGGCCCTAGGGGAGGCTCCTTCCTGGCATTGTCCAGCCCACGGTGGCTGCAGGCTTTCCCTGGCTTGTGGCTGCATAACTCTAGTCGCTGCCTCTGCCTTCATGTGGGCTCCTC